CCATAGGTGCCTCATTTAAACCATCAGCCATAACCTGCTTCTCATTTTCAGTACCACTTGGTATTAGAGCTGCAGTGAACTGCTGGTGAGAGATTCTAATTCCTGCAAACAAGCCCCTGTAGGCTTGCAAGGAAAACAGAGAGTTCCCTTCTCGGTTGCCTGCTAGGTTCCCATCTGGCTGTTTTAACTTTGCTATTGCTTTTAAATGTGCCTGTTTCTGCACAAGAGGCTTTCAGCTCTACCTCAAGAGACTCCTGGGTTCTCTAAGCGTCAGATTCTGGCCAAACTGTAGAGACACAGATTGGGTCTTCTTAACAAAAAGGAAGATCAGATTTCACATTACAGTATCTGAAAGATTAATTCCACTTACATGATCATTTCCTTGTGAACCACACTTCTTTCCATCTGGATTTTTCCATCAGGAGGACAAAGAGCCGTAGTGTTAAGCACTACCTGAGAGAAAAGAGCAAGGAGCGTAAAAGATGAGTGCAGAGGTGCTTGCTAAGAGAAAAGAGAAGGAAAAACAGAGAACATTTTCAAACGCATTGAGAGGCTTCTTTTCTTTTTTTTTTTTCGTGTGAATTATATTCTAATGTCGTGCTTTGGTATTTTGAACCATTTCGTTTGTCAGGTTTTGATGGAGGGAATTTACGATATTTGGCTGCAGGAGACTTCTGTCTCATGATATTGTTATCCAGTGTTTGCGTTATTGTAGTAACCACAGGTCCAGCAAAAATCAGTGCCCTGCTGTACCTGAGGCTATCAATAATCTCATGTAAGACTTATTGAAAGACACCTGTCCCCATCTGGGCTACCGTCATAACCACAAGAGAGCCGCGCCAGCTAGGAAGGGGCTAGCAAAAAGGATAGAGGAAAGATGACCTGGGGCCCAACTAATGCCCTGCCACAGACGCCTCTTGGCACTGCAGACAGTCATTTAATCTCTCTGCAGCTCAGTTCGGTCTTTAGGAGACAAGGTAACAACCATGGCAAAATGGCAAGAGGCTTTCGCCCTGTTGCAGGAGTGAAAATGAGGGCTAGGTGAGTCAGTGACCACTCTGTTAGTTTCTGTTTAGTTTTAGTTAAACAAAACATGTTTTTCTCAATCAGGAGCAAGCCAATTATCTTCTTTTCATATTTTAAAAGATTTTATGCAATGCTAAAGTAAAATTCCAAACCAAAAGTAACTTTGAATAGAAAACTGGAAATGGTAATTTTTTTTTGAAATAACAAAATTAACTGTTTTAAATCTACCATACTGGACTGTTTGCATTTTTTCCAGAGTTTTCTTTGCTGAGTTGTCTTTGACTGGAATCTGCAAATGCAACACAAATCTGTTAAATGCTTTAGCCAATTCAACTCAGTGGGGATTATGTGTTTTTTCTTTTCTTTGCCAGAAAAAACTTCAGTAGAAAACAGCAATTGTTTCCAGTGTAGAAAAAGAAAAAGGAAAAAAAAAAGCCTTGCAGGCTGTAGTACTCAAGTGGCTGGATAATATCAGGGAGCTACAAAGCTCAGCTAGGTTGTTGTAGACGAGGTCCTGGAATGACCAAGTCCCTCGAGAGCTGCACCCAGCTGCGCGCAAACCGCCTGGGGAGTCACCCGCAGCCCTCGCCGGGCACTGCCCGCAGCTCGGCGACGCCGGCCCCACAGCCACCTGCAGCCTCTGCCTCTGGGGCGGCTCTTGTGCTCGCCGGGGAGATCCGAGCCCCCGCGGCTCAGGCCCTGGCCATTCGGGGTGTGCTGGGTGTCTGGGAACTGATGCTTAATGACAAAACAGTTTTAAAGGGTGTGCTACCTTCCATTCTCCTGGGGAAGCGAGGAGGTTAATACACCTGGATTGCCCTTAAAATCTCTACCCAGTCTCAGACAGGTCTCCTACTGGTAGGAGGCTTTTTTTTGTTGCTGTTGTTTTGTTTGCAACCAGGGAAAAAAAAGAAAGGGAGAGAAAGAGATAGACAGAAACAGTCTAATGAGATGGTCTTTAGGTACTTCCAGGCTACACTTTAAAAGGAAAGTAATCCTATCCAACTTGCATGGTCTAGATCTCTGCAGAAAACGTTAGTGACCTTGTAAGACAGAATTTTTGTCCCCCAGTTACAGGTGCTCCTGCCCTCCTGCAGTCACTGGCTGTTTCCAACTAGAGCAGCTTCTGGGAGCCACCCAGAGGGAGAAGCTCGGAGAAATGTAATCAGCGGCAGCGCTTTTGCTAGCTTTGCGGTATCTTAAAGCAGAAGGGGTAGTGGGGGGGAAACCCTCAGCAGAGTCCCTGGCCATCAATTAAAACATTCATATTACTTTCCTCATTAGTCTAATCATCTGGTATAGCTATTTCCAAGCTTACCCAGAAAGCCCTGCAGAGCAATTCAGCATCAAGGCCAGCGCCGCACGGGACGGAGCTGTGAGCTCGGGAGGAGCTACGCTTCGTGTTGACACACGGCGCTCACTTGTCTGGCGTTAGCCATGTGAAGCAAACGATGCTGACGCACTTTTTGGAAAGAGGATTGCTGCATGAAAGGGACCTCTGTTGCAAAGCACCTCCCTGGCTGCAAAGGCTGGAGTCGCCTGCTAAATTTCACCGGCACCAAAACAACTCAATTCTTGGAGAACCTCCTCAGAGTCAGGTCTTGAACAAGAGGCCTCGCAGTGTAATTCTCTCTGCTAATCGTCTCTCTCCCTCTCTCTGCCAATCAACTCCACTACTGTAACTAGCTGACAGGCTACAACAGAAGTTTAAAGCATGGGGGCTAGGAGAACTGAAAGTTTAGTACCCATCTGCTTACCTCCACAAAAGCATTTCAACATCTGCGGCGATTGAGAGTCAGCCATGCTCCTTGAAAATGAGCCTGTGGTCTTATGAATCTCCTGATGTAGAACTTGTATGATGTTTTCCTTGATTTCCTTTTACTGCTTCAGCTTAACGTTCTGTGTCGGTGAAAGTACAAACAGGTCATGATGACAATGTTGGCAGTAGCTCTTGAGCACAGTGCATGACTTTTGCAAGGCAGTAAAACTTGTAGGGCAATGCACAATACCTTTTTCTGTGCTATTCTTCATGCTAATCTGTGCTGGGATTGCACAACATACTCCTTTACCAAAGCTCTTGGTGTTCTGTTATCTGCCCTAAAAAATTCCTAGGCTTTTATCCCTATATTCCTTTCTACTTCCCTGCAGTTCTTTTCCTTCATCACTAAAAGTAAAACCAGTCGGCTTTTTTTCCATCTCTCCCATCATTTTTATTGTGCTTTTCATATTTTGCTTACTAAGTAGTTACCCTAGGGAGACTTCTTTATTGGAACATACAAAAAGCTGTAACTGCTCTTAACATTTGTGGGGAGGACAAGGCAGAAGGGGGCAAGGGAAGCAAATTTAGGCTGAGGTCACAGAAATATATGTTGTATGTTCAATAATATGCCTTGCATCATCTCTACTTCTTTTTCCATAAGCAACAATATATTCTCCCTTGCTTACCGCTTATTCCCCGAATCAGCCTACACTGTTAGAAATAACGTACTTGGATGTTTGGACAAAGTTGTTGTTGTTGCTTTAGGAGCAACATCCATCTGGCTGCTGCTGCTGTGGGGAAGGGAGCAGACCAGATGACTTTCAAAGGTCCCATCTGCACTTGTTTTCTAGAATTGCTGAGAAAATAAACCATAACTCTAGATTTAGGCATTCCGGCATTAGAGTGAAAGCTGATGCCACATCAGAATAAACACCAGCCACCCCACTGTGGGAAGAGGTCTAGTGTGGCTCCCATGTTGATTACGTCTTTAATACCAACAGGCAACCAAAGCAAGCCCATTAATGTTCTCTGGAGCTGAGAACAGCAATTCAGGATGAGATCCGGGCAGGAGAAATGCTCCTAAAGTCTCAGAAAAGAGACTGCTCGGATGTCTTTGAACTCTTGCTCTTGACTGAGCTCTGCTTCAGGCTGGCCTGGCTGGCCTGAGCTTCCTGGGTCTAAAGCAGCAAACAACATTGCAAAAGGCATGCCCACATTCCACTGCATGATCTGTGAGGGAGAAAAACAGTCCCAGGCTGGATTCTCAACATGGCAACAAAGCCAGAACTTTCAGCTCTATAATTTCCCAAAATTCAGATGCTCTTTTTTCTCACATCCCAGGTAAGTACCCTACCCCTCAGAAGAGAGAAACAGCATCTTTCTGGAGGCAAATAGCTATCACGTTATTTATACAAAGTGGAACAGCTCCCAGAGGAGAGACTGAGACAGACAGATGCAAGTACACCAGCATAGCTGAGTGTTCAGGGGTATTCACCTGAGAGAGAGAAAAAACTAGTTCAAGTTCTCTCCATTTCTATTTATATGTGTACAGACATATATATAGATATGTATAAAAGCATGTGAAAATCCATTCATATGTATACGTGTATGTATATATATTTATGTGTATACATGTCTTTACATCCCTATAAATGAAAGAAAATTGTACGTACATACATTTTATATATGCATACACATACACCACATGAATATACGTCTTGCATACACATCCTAAGATTCCCACCTTGGCCCTAGAAGCTTTGTAAGTATAAGTCAGTCCAATGATTCATTCTTTCAAAAACCTCCAGTTTTAGCTAACCAGAATTAAGTGCGCTCAAACACTTTGGTAACTCTCCACCACAAAGTAGTGGAGCTTTCCTGCTTATGCTCATCAGTGCTATAGTAACAGAAATAATACCTGCACCTACGAGGTTCAGCCAGTGCTGAATTCGGGTGGCACAGGATGTTCTTTTTCAACGGCATTACTTGACAAGAAATTAAATCATATCGTCTTATGCTGCTGCTTTCTCAGGGGATGAATTACATGCCTGCAGAGTCCTACCACAGAGTCAGTCCTGCTCTCTGGATGCTTTTAGCAACACCTGCAAGCCCTGCTGCACACACTAGTTATAATAATGTAATGCTATTTGGAGGGTAATGAACAGGACTACTTTCTAGGGAATATTATTTCTGTATGAAAATTTCCTCTTAATTCATTTCAGAAAAGCTGTCTCTGATCTAGCCCAACTGCATGCAAGAGAGGAGCAAGATGCCTCACACCAGAGACTCTTCACCTCCGACTAGCAGTGCAGGCAGCAGAGCTTCCTATGAAACACCAGCGCTGTCAGACCTCCAGCAGCTCTGTTGGTTCAGAGGAGGGTCCGATAATCACGTGGACCAAGTCTGGCCAAATATTTACCTGGGAGATGCGTAAGAACTTATGGTCCTATCATTAAGCTGCTATATGTCCCTAGGAGGAGACGGAAGGGGTGCAGCACACTGGGGAGCACCTTTGGGTCTGCAGGAATAATTTTGCGATACAGGCTTCCAAAACTGATAAGGAGTTTGGTTGTTGTGAAAAAGATGACACACAAAATGGTGACTTACTCATAGTGTGTCTGAGTTGGGTTTTCTATATTCTATGAACCACGGTGGGTTTGGCAGGGTAAGAATTATTTGTTTTCTAGACAAAAGTCCTTAAAGAACCCATCCCAAATTGGTGCCAACTCTGAGATGTGTTACCTGCCCTGGAAACTGTGCTCTAAGGCAGCAGACAAGAGCACAGTAGCCCTCACACTCACAATATGAGTAGTAGGATCAAGAGCCATGTGGAGGAGGACCCAAATGAATTATACAACAGCGATTTTGCCAGTCCAAATCCAAACTTCCTTTCAAAGACTGTAAAACTGAAAATATCAAACAGGAATTTTCATGCAAACACCTTATTCTTGTGACGGTTTCTATTTACTGCCATTTCCTTCTGTTTGGATTACTGCAGATTACATAGCTCATCAGCTCATTTTTCCCAACTCCTCCTCCTCGTGAATACATCAGTTAAGGATCATAGTTTTGTGGAACAACTTCAGTCCCAGTTTATGGTGGGAAGCGGGGAGAACTTGGCTGGTGAGCATGATGCTGCCGCTTCACGTCCGAACCAGGAACGAGGTGCCGCTGCATCTGTGTGGGTTCTCTCCCTTGTCACCCATGCACACTACGAACGAGAGCTTAACTCTAGAACTTGCTAGACAACTATTTAAAGGAAAATCTTGACCACTTTATATAGCAAGCCATGTTCCCAGGGATTAGCTGCTGGGAGGCATTTGCTTATCTAACGGTATCCCACTGGCAAGTCTGTGTTCTTGTTGCTCTCCAGAACACCGTATCACATTTTTCATGCGCAAAGCACTGTGGGCTTCTCAAAATTTGCTGCTCTGTAAGGAAATGCAGTTCCTGCATCCTTCCCTAGTGGGACCAGGTGCTAACTTTAAACCATGCTATGTTAGCAGAATTTTAGGAGTGTTGCCAATGAGCCCTTCATGTCTTTCAACAGGTGGGCTGCTAGGAGCAAAACTACTCTTCAAAGCCTCAACATTACTCATATCCTTAATGCAGCAGATGGGCCATATAGCATCAACACAGGAGCCAAATATTACGAAGATCTGCAAATAGAGTACTACGGAGTAGAAGCATTTGACGATCCTTCCTTCGATTTAAGTATCTTCTTCTACGATGCTGCCAATTTCATAGGCAAAGCCTTAAACACTTCAGGAGGTAAGAGGGAGGCAAAGAGAAGCTTTGGGAGGAAGTTTCAACACGAGCCAAATGGCTTCTCCTTGCAGTAAAGGGCAGCCAGCAAAGCTCAGGTTCCGCACGCGGCTCGAGAAGGCACAATCAGAACTGCCGCACGGAGGATGGGAGAAGGGCACCTTCGCCATGCGCTGCGGGGAAGGTGGCCGTGGCCAGGTCCCCGGGAGCTGGGGAGGGCTGGCTGCCCCAAGCCCAGCGTGGTGGGAGGAAGGGCCAACTCCAGGAGCAGAGCGAGAGGGAAGGGCAGAGGCTATGGCACTGTGGGTCCGTCCTGCAGGAACTGGCAGGATCCATGTGCCTCCACGCGCACCTCACACCCCTCGCACACCGGCACGGGCGCCAGCCCGGCGGTCCTACCCCGCGTGCGCTCAGCTGGGAGCAGCGGCCCTTCAGCGCTGGCTTAAATGCTTCGCATGCTTAAGTGCTTCACAGAGTTGGAGCTTTCTTCAGACTGTCTATTAAGCTAGAGAAGCAGCAGAAGTTAATGAACTAAGTCAAAAACTACGAGGCTGACCCACAGCCTGCTGAATTTTTGTCAGCAGAGTTTGGATTATGGCCTAGTTATCATAATTTCCATTTGTTCCAGAGTTTGCTCCGACTCGGACTGTCTGCGAGATCTGCTGCTTTCACTGGAGTGCTTTATTAAATCCCCAGTTATAGCTCACACTGGGCTGCTGAGATACAGTAAATTATGAGTCCATTTTTACAGGCAGACTATCCTACAGAGTTTATGGGACTTGTCAGTGATCACAGTCAGGGCTCGGCCAAAATTTTCTGCCAAAAATTTTTTTTCCCCCCCCGAAAACTGTACTAACAAGTTTAGTCACAGAAAGCTTCTCCTTCCACAGAAAATTTCAACTATTTTAATCTGAGGCCTCAGTTAGATGCATGAGGTCAGTATGAAATACCACCTTGCCTGAGACGTATGGCATGTTCTTAACCATTCCCGAAAACATGAGTATCCACTAATTGTCACCGTGGTTTTCCCAACTTGTTTCTAGTAGTTTTTGTCCTCCCTAATCTTTCTCACTTTAGAAATGCTAAAGCCCACTCACCTTGCTGTGCCTCTTTTTTTTCGGCAGGTAAGGTGTTTGTTCATTGTGCGATGGGGGTGAGCCGCTCTGCGTCTTTAGTGCTTGCCTTTTTAATGATCCATGAAAACATGACACTCGTGGATGCTCTGAAAACAGTGAGTGCCCACAGAGACATCTGCCCAAATTCAGGGTTCCTCAGCCAGCTCCGGGACTTGGACATTAAGCTAAACGAAGAGAGGAAAGGAACCAGAGCATCTGCTGCCAAAGAGCTGTAAAAGAGTATTGCTGAAAGAGAGAGGACAAAATGTTATTTGAGTTTCCTGTATCTCCTAAATGAATTGCATTTGTAAACTAAGGATGCAAGTTTATGATACACTGGAATGCATGTTATTACCAAAAGTAGATTTTACTTGATCCTTCTGTTTTGCTAAGCCCTCCTAGATTATACTTATGATTGGTCATATGCTGTATCCTTCACTCTCCACCTTAAAACATTGCTCTCTGCTGGTAAAAAAAAAAAAAAAGAGAGAAGATATCAGGTTCCACTTCAGAAATAGCTGTGTTTCAGCAACCAGTGAAGCTCATATCACTTTATGAAGTGTTAGGCTATTTGAGGTGAAAGATGCCATATTATTTATGCTACAATAATGCTTAGAAGTTTTCCTATGAACCAGCCCCCCCCGCCTTTCGCTCCCCGTGTCTAAAATGGTTTGTATTTTGAGACCTGAATCTGGCACCGGTTAGTTCTTGCTTTTACAATTGGTGGAGCCCCTGAGTTGGGCGTAAGAGCCTGTTTAAAGGCAGAGCAGCTGGGAAACAACACAAGCCCCTCTTTAGGAAATTATTCCAGGTCACTCATAGTGTTTTCCCTTTGACTGTTCATCAGATTTTTTTTTTTTCCCATTAATACCTCTTTTTGAGAGGGCATTCAAATACTGTTTATCTTCCCTTGTAAAATTCATCCAGGAGATGCTGTGGAAAACGCTTCTGAAGAGGAAGGTGGGTTCCCCGCGGGGGCTCCAAGCAGCTGCCTGGGCAGTGGGAGCGAGTGCAGGAAAGCATTTGACAACAAAGTTCAGCGTATCCCAAAATTTGTCTGACAGTTCAGCTTTATAGAACTTGGGATTTGCTTTCTCAAAAATAAAGGTCATTAACATTGCAACATCGTGTTCTGTGGCATTTGCTTTTGTGAGGGGACTCAAGTGAAAACTGAAGGGAGACAGGAATGGCAAGGGAGGTGCTGACAGGCATCAGGCTTTCATCTTTGTGTCTCTGGGCCACCATAAGAGCACTCAATAGCTACTGTCATCTGATGGATCAGTGCTGCCTGGAAACTATGTGAAGCACATCTGGCTCTCGGTTCCCAGTGGACAAACATTCGCAGCACAAAGCCAGCTTGGGGATGGCAGTTGTTTGCATTCCTAGTACCAAACTCAGGAATGCAGAGGCATGAATACTCCCCACCACGCGAGCTGGCTGCTCAGGAACAGCTCAGCGGCAAGGGAAAACATTCCTTGCCGTTCCCAGTGCTGTCTACAAGACGGATTTCTGCCTTCAGGACAGGCAACTCAAGCACCTTTTATAAGGCTCTTTGGCAATATCTACATCTGCTGCGCGGGCCAGGCTACAGGAGCGAGAGCGCAGAGCAGAGCACTCGGCGCTGAGGACCTGACCCTCACACCGAGGGCACCTCAGGGGCTTTTGCTTTGGACTGGCTCTGTGGGCTGGACGTCCCTGAGCAGCCGGAGAGCAGTGCCGGGGAGCTGTTTGCTTTGGCTCCCCGTGGAACCTGCTCCTGAGCTCTGGGGCTGCTCTGCAAGATCCACAAACACGCAGCGAGTAGGAGCGGTCAGCTCAAGAGCACGCTTCAGACCCGCGCCGAAACTTAGCACGCACATCTCAGTCACCAGTTAACTCCAACGAACTGATTTCAACTCACAGAACAAGTGGGGAGGAAAAAAACGCCCGTGGGTCTGGCTGTAGAGATGCCCCGCGCGCAAGAACCACGTTTCCTTGCGCTTCCCGCCTACAGGAAGACCCTCCTCGCCTTCGGCAGCAGCAGGACTCGCCGGGGGTACGAGAGCACGCGCAAACTGAACGCGCTTCGCGCCACAAACTTCGCGCGTTTTTAAAACACCGGTTGGCGCAGCTG